CGGGACAAGCGCGTGCGCATCATCGAGCCGCGCAAAGGCACTGTTGTTGCTGTGAGTTGCCCTGAGTTGGGACCCTTGACCCTAGGACCTTCACCCTCCTACGCCATCAGCCAGGTCCCCAGATGCTGCCCTCTCTCGCCCTCAGCTGGAGTCTGGTGCTTAGGATGTGTGTGTGGGCACCTGACTGACCACCTGCCTTTTCCTGCAGGAGAAGGACCGTCCCCATGAGGGGACCCGGCCTGTGCGCGCAGTCTTCGTATCCGATGGAAAGATCCTGACCACGGGCTTCAGCCGCATGAGTGAGCGGCAGGTGGCGCTGTGGGACACGGTGAGCGCTGGGTGGGGGAGCGGCGATCAGGCTTCGCAGGAGGCTTAGTCCCTGCCCTGCCACTTGCCTGATCATACAGAGCCATGGGCCTCAGTTTACCCTCTGTGGGATGGGGTCTCCACTAGTTGTTCTGCGAGGGCCCACCCCGAGTCCCTGCCCAGGGCTCCTTCCAGGCCTGACTTGGCCCAGCTCATTGTTCCCTGTCTCCCCTTCTCCACCCTACCGCCCATCTCTGCAGAAGCACCTGGAGGAGCCACTGTCCCTGCAGGAACTGGACACCAGCAGCGGCGTCCTGCTGCCCTTCTTCGACCCCGACACCAACATAGTCTACCTCTGTGGCAAGGTGTCCCCGTCAGGCAGGGGCTCATGGGCAGGAGGTGGGGGGATGGAGCGGGACTTGGAAAGGCCAGGCGAGAGGACTCCACGGTGTTGATCCCTGCCTTCGCACCCACCTCCTGCAGGGGGACAGCTCTATCCGGTACTTCGAGATCACTTCCGAGGCCCCGTTCCTGCACTATCTCTCCATGTTCAGTTCCAAGGAGTCCCAGCGGGGCATGGGTTACATGCCCAAACGTGGCCTGGAGGTGAACAAGTGTGAGATCGCCAGGTGACTGACCCCGACCCTGACCTGAGCACGCACCCTGGGCTGTTCGGACCCTATGGGGACCTTTGGTTCCAGCCCAGCCCTGCGGTGGTCGCTGCTCACCTCCTTATTTCCACAGATTCTACAAGCTGCACGAGCGGAGGTGTGAGCCCATTGCCATGACAGTGCCTAGAAAGGTGACGCTCCCATGTCCCTTCCTGGGCTGGGCCGGGCACTGACCTCACACAGTTGCAGGGTGGTGGTGTGGCCCAAGCACTCTCTTAACCAGCCTTGGCCTTGCCCACAGTCGGACCTGTTCCAGGAGGACCTTTACCCACCCACTGCAGGGCCCGATGCTGCCCTCACGGCTGAGGAATGGCTGGGTGGCCGGGATGCCGGACCCCTCCTCATTTCCCTCAAGGACGGCTACGTGCCTCCAAAGAGCCGGGAGCTGAGGGTCAACCGGGGCCTGGACACTGGGCGCAGGAAGACAGCTCCAGAGGCCAGTGGGACCCCCAGCTCGGTGAGAAGCAGATGCGAATCTGGGAGTCGGGATGGGATGCCACGTCGGGCAGGGACTGCTACTGATGGGGTCATTGTCCCGGTAGAAGGAGGCTGACCCTCTGGGGGCCAAGAGCGGGTAGTTCTCAGACCTCAGAGAACAGATTTCACGTTCTTGGCCTGCAGCTGTCCAGGCAGCTGCTGAGAGACAGGCTGGCCCCAGAGCTCTTGGGAGGGCGGAGGGGGAATGGCTGGGTGAGGGGGAGCCTGTGACAGAGCTGGGACTGATGCAGAACGACATACCCCAGGACACCGTAGCCCGGCTGGAGGAGGAGATGAGGAAGCTCCAGGCCACAGTGCAGGAGCTACAGCAGCGCTTGGATAGGCTGGAGGAGACAGTCCAGGCCAAGTAGAGGACCCGAAGGCCTCAACCGGGGCCACGGCATCCCTGCCCTCCCTCCATTCGCACCCTTCTCCTCAGGCCACAATGGCAGATAAAAAAATAATAATAAAATGGCTTTATTTTCTGGTATCTCTGACTCCGCTGGTCACCTGGATGCTGGGTCTGCTGAACTGACCTGCTGTCCCTCGGTTGCCTTGATGAGACTGGCCCATGGCGGGAGCAGGGGGGGATGCCTCCGAGCACCGGAGGCTGCAAGGGAACAGGTCACAGTGGGTGGCAGCCGCCCCTTGCTTGGGTGGGTTGAGAGCTGGCAGGATCTGGGCTACACAAGGCCCTTGCCTGGGGCCTCAAGAATTCACATAATAACTCAGAATTTGCCTTTCCTGGTCAACCATGACAGGCCGCATGCAGACTATACGGGTCACTGTCGGTGGTGGGGAAACTGAACTCATGTGATACTTAAGATGGCACTTACGGGATGCGTTTCAAATGCAAGCCCAAGGGAGCAAAATCAGGGGATCTTTTAGGAGGTCAAAGCTTAGAACCAAACCCTGGTTTACAGGTGAGGACTTGGGAGGAACAGAGCAGGAGGGGGACCTCTGGGAGGCAGACCTTGAGTCATGAGCCATCCCCCTCTTCCAGTTCCCAGTCTTCCCTGCAGTATGGCCCTATCAAGTTGGGGGTTAGATGGGGGTCCCGGCCACAGCGGCAGAGCTCCCCTCATACCACAGAGGGACCACAGCAAGGACTAAGTGCCTCAATCACCCCCCGACTCCCCTTCAGGACATGGGAGAGAACCACCCGTGTAGAGAGGCAGCTGCATGGACGTCCCTGTTGGCCCATCTGAGTCTCAATCTCTATGCGAGCCATGTAACCCTGTGCCAGTCACTTCTCTCCAGGCCTCAGGTGCTCTATAAAATCGGGAGGGACAGCATCACAGCTCTGTGAACGCAGTGGATGGATCCAATCAGGGGTGTGATAGAGAAGCAGAAAATTTGGAACGTGCACCTCTTAAAGTGACATTCCTTCCCTGAGCCTCTCCCGCACAGCGGTGGTGACGCGGCCTCCTAGGGAAGTCGTACATGAATACACTCAGTCAGTAGCTCTCCCCCTGTTCCAAGGGACCAAGGAAAGTTGAGGAAAGCCTCTTAGGAATGGAGAAGGGTTAACCCGTCATCACCATGACTTCAAGCTTTACTAGCCCCTTCTCCCTCTGTTAGGAACAAGAGGGAGGTAGGAAGTGGGATGGTTATTTGGGGCCAAGAAACTAGTCCTGAAAAGGGGAACAGAGTGGTGGGATAGTTCAAGACTGTAATCCCTCACTCCCAAAGAGCTCTGGCCCCTCCTGGGTCCCACGGAACCCATCTGTGCCAGACCTTACCAATCCTGGCACCTGTATTTAAGACTGCTACAAGGGTATCATGTGCCCCGATTTTATGGCCTAGGTGGCCTCATTTTCCTGCTTTAACCCTATCCCTATGTCCTGCCCCCAGCTCCATTCCTGAAACTCTCATGGTCTCCCCAGGGGCAACTGTGGCCACCCAAAGCCCTGGGCTAAAGGGTCATTGTATTTTCTGCAGCAGAGCAGGAAACAGCAGCATTCCAGAAGTTGTGGTGTCCCCACTGGGGTACCACATCCCCTGAGACCATGAGGGGCTGGGTAACCTGCAGGGAAGCACGGGATCCTCCATTATGCCTCTGACATTAGGGTGACACTGGGGAGTGGGGGGAGTTTGATAAATTGGCCAGTGCCCTGAAATCCCAAGTACTTTTCCATCTGTGCATCTTGAAAACTGACAGAGGGCAGGACCCCCTGGTAATGGCCAAGGAACAGCAGCACCATCCCTAGGGCTCTACCAAGGATTACAGAGAAGGCCGGCGCTGCCTGCCCTGGGAGAGATTTTAAGGACAGAACTTTCATTTTATAAGTGGGGACACAGAGGCCTGTGTGTGAAGGATTTGTCCAAGGTAAAGACAATGGAGAGTGGTAGAGCAGGGAGAAACCAGGCTCTAGACTCGAGCTCAGCATCCCTCCACCCTCCCACACACAACACACTGACACAGAAGCTGGCCCTGATTCATAATTTAATGGTTGTGCAGGCCTTGGTCTCTTATTTCTGTTGCTCGCGCGCCCACTGCTCTGGGGTCAGGGTTTTCTGCTCAAAGGCATGAATGTGCAGAAGCTCTTCAGCTAGGCACGTGTTCACCAGCCTGGGGGAGAGATGGGGTTAGGAAATGGAAGGCCAGGGCCTGAGTCACGGCCTCCGAAGGCAGGGTGATCCAAGAGACTGGAAGTATCCCCCAAACTGTGTCCCCGGGACTTGGGAACCAAAGAGGCAGAGGCCTAAGTCTCCATACAGGGGTCACGAAGGCGGGATCCTTGGGGCTGTGGTTCACGGTGCAGGACCGTACTGGCGGGGGCGAGGGAGTTAGATTTAGCGGAGAGGCCAGGGTTAGGGTCCCGGCGCTGAGATCGCGCTGAGCGAGGTATTCCCGAGGTCTCACCGGTGTCTCTGGAGCAGTGGCTTCCCCTCGAACTTGGCCGACACCACCAGGACTCGGAAGCTGGACGCGCAACGGTTGGGAGTCGTGTCCTCGACTTCCTACGAGGCAGAACGGTGGGAGAGTGTGAAACCCGCCCCTCAGGGGCGCTTTTCCCCTCGCCGGACGAATCCAGGACGCTCAACTCACCACATGCTCCGCCTCCAGGTCCCGCTGCAGCTTCTCCCGGAGGTATTCGGCACTGAGTTCCATCGCGGCAGCCCAGAAGGGGCGATAGCCCAGCCGGGATGGAACCCCAGCTCCGACCCCAGCCACACTGCTTCCGCCCTTACCGACGCCACTTCCGCTGAGGCCAATACTTCCGCCCTTACTAAGGAGTCCGTAAACCTAGCACTTCCGCTCTCACGCAAGCCCCACTTTCCAACAGTCCTGGGCTTCCGCGCTTACCATCAGCGGCCAGAGTCTGCACAAGGCCGGATTCGGGCGCTAATAGGTGTCCGCCGCCTGCACCGCAGCCTGGGTTCTGTGACCCGGTTTGGACACCCTACTCCAGCCAGGAGGGTGAGCGAACCTGCATTGCTGCGGTCTCTAGGGTACCTCGGGATCGCCCCCAGACGCTTTTTCCGAGACAAGCATCTTGCGGCCCTGGCAACTCAGCCCTCCCTGAGGTCACAGGCCACAGCAATCAACCCACAAGTCCCGATGGGCCCTGCGGGGGACACGGCGAGGCCCGGCCGCTTCTTCGGCGTCTACCTGCTCTACTGCCTGAACCCTCGGCACCGGGGCCGCGTCTACGTGGGCTTCACCGTCAACCCTGCTCGTCGGGTACAGCAGCACAACGGGGGCCGCAAAAAAGGCGGGGCCTGGCGGACCAGCGGTCGCGGGCCCTGGTAAGAGGGAGCGGATTTCTGTCTGGAGAAGGGCTTCAGGGAGGAGAGGCCTGCCGAGAGGGGCGGGGCCAGGATAGTGGGCAGAGCCCTATGGTGGCTGTTAACAGGGCCGGGGAGGCGGGGTCTTGTCGATGGGTGCGGGCCTATCATAGGGGAGGAGCGTGGCCCCCCCATAGGGGAAGGCGGGGCCCTATGAAACTCAGCCGTGGGACTAAGGAAGGGATTGGGTAGGAAGCACTGTTCTAGGCTTGGGCGGGTGACAGCGGGCTGAAGAGCAAGGCGGGGGTTGGAAAAGACCCTGCAAGGGAGAGGAACTGAGGAGGCCAGTTAAGTACCTGTGCTGGAGGCGAGGCCAGAGGTTGGCAGGTGCGAAGGGACGTACCTCTACGAAGGGGGCGGAGCCTCGCGGACTAGGTTTGAAGCCAGGCGTGAGAATTCCACTCTCGGGTGGGTGGGACTGGGGTGAACCATGGTGAGGGGATTCGGCCTGACACCGGTTGGGGCGGACGCTCACGGGCCGCGTCCTCGTTCCCGTCCCCAGGGAGATGGTGCTTCTCGTGCACGGCTTTCCTTCCGCCGTGGCCGCCCTTCGGGTAAGAAGTGAGACGGGGGCGGTGGGAAGACGGGCCGGGGCTTGGGTTCTAACCCGGGAGGCCCTGAAGCCCCAACTCCCCGCCCGCAGTTCGAGTGGGCCTGGCAGCACCCGCACGCCTCGCGCCGCCTGACGCACGTGGGTCCGCGCCTGCGCAGCGAGGCGGCCTTCGCTTTCCACCTGCGTGTGCTGGCGCACATGCTGCGCGCGCCGCCCTGGGCGCGCCTGCCGCTCACCGTGCGCTGGCTGCGCGCCGACTTCCGACGTGAGCTGTGCCCGCCGCCGCCGCCGCACATGCCGCTGGCTTTCGGGCCTCCGCCGCCCCGGGCCTCCGCCCCAAGGAGCAGCTCCGGTCCCTTAGTTGACCTGGAGTTAGAGCCCCACCAGGACGCCGCGGCCTTCTGCGCCCTGTGCGCGCGCTCCTTCCAGGTGAGCCGCCCCACCTGGTCTTCACGCTGGGAGACCAGGGTTCAAGCAACTCGGGATCCAGCTGTTTATTGAAGGACCGGGCAGCCCCTCAGACACCTTTTGCCCTCGTCACTAAAACGGGGACGATAGTACTTCCTGCCGTTCTTCGAAACCTGTACCTTTCTGCTCAAGGCCTTTTGCCCTTTAGCCTTTGACTGGAAGGTTCTTCCCTAGACCTTCATTTCAGTCTTTATGAAGTGCCACCTTCTCCTTCCCCACGAGGTCTTCCTTGGCGCTCCCATGTAAAACTGCAGTTCTTTCTTGTACACTCCCCTGCCTTTTTTTTTTTTCTTAGAGCCTAAAAACTTATTGTCTAACGTAGTAGGCGTTTTATTTATCTTATTGTCAGTTTCTCCCCTGCCCCAATACAAGGCAGTTCTTGTTCATTGCTGTAGAAAAGGGTCTGGCAGGGTGCCTGGGTGGCTCAGTCGTTAAGGGTCTGCCTTCACCTCAGGTCGTGATCCCGGGGTCCTAGGATCGAGCCACACATCCGGTGGGCTCCCTGCTCAGCCGGAAGTCTGCTTCCTCCCTCTCCCACTCCGCCTGCTTGTGTTCCCTCATTGTCTCTCTCTGTCAAATAAATAAAATTTTTGAAAGGAAAAAAAAGAAAAGGGTCTGGCAAATAGCAGGTGGCCAATACATATTTAACAAATGAACTGAGATGATGGGTCTGATTTCTGAGCTCTCAAGAAATGTAAATTGAGTACTTGCCATTCAGAGCTGAAGGGACCTCCCTGAGATCACTTAGCCTGTAAGAACTAGAAGTCTGGCTACAGTGGCCTATGCCGTTTCTGTAATCACTGCTAATGCTCAGGGAAACTGGCTAGCTTAGTCCCTGTGGGTAAGTATTGTAACCTCTCCGTGCCTCAGTTTCATCTATAAAATGCAAATAATAGTAGTGTGTGACTTGTAGCGTTGTTTAACGTGAAGCTTTTGGAACGGTGTTTTTCCATATTTATTTCCATAGAAATTCTGAGCGTTAGCTACATCATTCCTTCTGGTTTTCTCTCTTAACTTGCCTGCCCCCCCCCGCCCGCCCCAACAGGAAGAGGAGGGCCCCCTGTGCTGCCCCCACCCTGGCTGCTGCCTCAGAGCCCACATGATCTGCCTAGCAGAGGAGTTCTTGCGAGAGGAGCCAGAGGAGCTTCTGCCTCTGGAGGGCCAGTGCCCTGGGTGAGTCCCAGCAACCCCGCCCCAGCCTGTTTGAGTTCTGGGAAGATGGCGCCAGTTGTCCAAGTCCAGGCCCCGGGGCAGCTGAGTCCTTATCTCGGCCCCCAAGGGCCTAGCCTGCAGGAGGCTTGTGAGTCTGACTCTGTGTCCTGCCAACTGCACTCCTTGGTAGCTGTAAGAACTCACTGCTGTGGGGAGACCTGATCTGGCTGTGCCAGGTGGGCACCGAGGAGGAAGAGGAGGACTTGGAATTAGAAGAGGTGAGAGGTGGCTTTGGCCCCAGCCTCCCTACCCCACCCCATACCCGAGGCTGCCTTTGACCAGTCCTCCTGTCTCCACAGGAACACTGGACAGACATGCTGGAGACCTGATCCTCGGCGCCCCCTAACCCTCTGCCCACTCCTTGTCTCTGGGCACTTTTTACTTGAGTACAATAAAGAGTCTGAGTTAAGGGAACTTTCTGTTGTTTGCTGGGGAAGGGGGTTGCTGGAGCTAGGAGACAGAGGCCCTGCCAGTCCCTGGGGCCTGAGGAGAAGAGCAGAGTGGGGAGGGCCCGCTCGCTTGTGTGGACCAGCCTCTCCCCTTCCTGGAGGCCCATGTGCCTTGGCTTTTCCTTCACATGCTTCTGAGGTCACACAATTCTTTTTTTTTTTTTTTAAGATTTTATTTATTTATTTGACAGAGACCATGAGAGAAGGAACACAAGCAGGGGGAATGGGAGAGGGAGAAGCAGGCCTCCCACTGATTAGGGAGCCCGATGCGGGGCTCAGTCCCAGGACCCTGGGATCATGACTTGAGTCGAAGGCAGATGCGCAATGACTAAACCACCCAGGTGCCCCTCACACAATTCTTTGAATGCTTGGGAGACACACCCTTGATTCAGAGCCTGTCCAAATCCAGTGTCCAGGTTGACTTTTAATCCAGATAGTATGGACAAAGGCCATGAGTGGGGTGGGTGGGGGGATACACTACCCCATGGGGCCCTGTGGCTCTCCAAACCCCAGTTCCTTCTTGTCTCTGTCTGCAGAGCCCCTTCAAAACCAGTGAAAGAAAAGCACCTTGTGGGGCCCATGGCTCTGAAATCCTTGGGAGCTGTGTGTGCAGCTGGCCTCAGTCCCAGGGATATGAGACTCTTGTTCTTGCTCTTTTCTCTCCCTCTTACCTCAGAAAGCCCGTCTTGTCTCCACTCCACCCCAACCCCTATCACCCTGCCCCCATCCCTGCACCTCTGCCCCTCCGCCCCCATTGCTCTGTACTGGCCTTGGTCAGAGGTCAGACCAGCAGTTCTGGAAAGCTTGTGCTGCTGGGGGGTGCCTGTGGGCCACTCCTAGCCTGAACCTCTGGCATCTGCAAGACTGGCCTGGAGCCAACAGGAAGGTGAGTGGCCCTGCTCACAAGGGTTTCACCTTTCCTCTCAGGTCTGTCCCCTCTAAACTGGCTGGGGCCGTCAGGACAAGCTGTTTGTTGGCCCGCCACACCGGGGTGGAGTACAGAGGGCAGGTCAGAGCCAAGATTCCAGCTCCAAAACACCCCGCAGAATAAAAGTGAAAACTTTTGTCTAATTTCAGTCTTCCCTTTGTTTTCTACACACTAAACCCACATCTTGGGTTTTCAGGCCCATTTAAACTTGGCTCCTGCTGGGGTGCAAAGGCGGGGGCAGCACAGGTGGCCCTCCCACTCTAAGCTCCACCCTTTCCTTCCTGGAGGCTGGCTCCAGATCCCTCCCACTTGGAATTTATAAACCCTTCAGCTCGGAGAACAGTTCTGCACCCACCCCACCCCACGGCACCCGGTTCACCACAGCACAAAGTGGTCACAGGACCGACATCCAGAGAGGTCTGGTGAGTTCTCCCGGTGGGGCGGCTGGGCAGGGCTAGCTCCTGGCCCTTTCCCTCTGGTTGGGCCATCTCAGTAAGCCGACACGACCCCAGGCCGAAACCCCCTTCCCCTTTCTGCTGACCCATCACTTAGTTCAGCTGCATGCCAGACTCTGGCCCCCCAAAACAGGCTCAAGTTGCTCACTGGCTCTGTTTATCCCCGAGCCAAGATGGCGTGGTTTGGCTTCTGGAATGTTTTTGACGATGCATGAGGGGCCCAGGCTGCTCGAGGGGCCCAGGCTGCTCCAGGGACCAGCAGGGGGAGTGGGGCCAGTGCCGCAGGCCAGGGGCCGCTGCAGAAGTAGTGGGAGGAGAGCTGGCAGGCGAGGAATTAGGACAGGCAGGCACTAGAGTAGTAGCTCTCAAGGGTGCACTGGAATCCCTTGGAGCTTCCAGAAGACTGGGACGGGGCCCCAGAGAGCGATGTCTTTGATGTGGGATGTGGCCTCAGGCATGGGGATCTTTACGAGCCCTGTAGGACAGCAAAGGCGCAAGCCAGCACCAGCCCCACTGTGTGAGTGTTCGGTGTGGGTTTGAACCCCAGCTCCTGCCACTCACCAGCTTTGTGAGCAGGGCCGAGTCAGCCCCAGGCCTTCCTCGTGAAGCAGGATTTCAACACATGGCGTGTCGTGATGTTGTTAAGGCAAGTCGGCTGCCCTCTGCCCCCGACGCCGTGGAATGGAGCTCATCCAAGACACCTCACACCTGCCGCTGGTATGTGTGAAGGGAATCCCTCTCATCAAGTACTTTGCAGAGGCCCTGGGCTCCCTGCAGGACTTCCAAGCCCGGCCTGATGACCTGCTTATCAGCACCTACCCCAAATCTGGTAGGTGGTGAGGGCCATAGTCCCCCACGTTGGACCAGCGAGGACCTGCCCTTCACCCGGCTCACCTACCCTTCCCCTGCTCTCCAGGCACCACCTGGGTGAGTGAGATCCTCGACATGATCTATCAGGGCGGTGATCTACAGAAGTGTCGCAGGGCCTTCATCTTAATCCGGGTACCCTTCCTTGAGCTCAAGTTTCCAGGTGTTCCCACAGGTTTGCAGTGGGGGCTCTGGGGACCAGGGGAGCAGAGGGAGGGGGCAGGACTGGGCTCCAGCTCAGCAGACCTTTCCCTCCTCGTGGTATAGGTTTGGAGGTTCTGAAAAATACACCAGCTCCACGACTCATTAAAACACACCTGCCCATGGCTCTGCTCCCTCAGACCTTGCTGGATCAGAAGGTCAAGGTTAGTGACAGAGGAAGCCAGGGAAGGAGGTCACTGGGGCCTTCCCAGCTTTAGCCTTTTCTGCTGGGAAGGTCTCACCTGAAGGGGGCAGGTGGTGGTCTTCATCCTGTGGTGGGGCTCTGTGCAAGGGAGACTCCTGTGTAGAGCAGAGAAGTCGTCTCTGCAGGCCTCCCCAGGCCCGTGGAGGAGGGGGCTGGTGAGAACCCAGCATACCTCAGTCCCAGTCTGGGTGTGGCAGCACTGAGGGGACAAGATTAGCATCAAGTATGGTGTCAGGGACCACAAGCAAGTCAGCCTCCAGGTCAGTGTCCCTCTGGGCCAGACCAAGAGCGAACTTCCCTCACTGGGCTGTTGTGGAAAGCGGAACCGCCTGGCTCACTGTGTGGTGACGATGCTCCGGTGTGTGGGGGGGTCGTTCGTCCCTCCAGGTGGTCTACGTGGCCCGCAACGCAAAGGATGTGGCTGTCTCCTTGTACCACTTCTACCGCATGGCCAAGGTGCACCCAGACCCTGGCACCTGGGACTGCTTCCTGGAGAAGTTCATGGCTGGGGAAGGTGGGCCTGAGTCTGGAGGAAGGAGCGGGGAGGAGCTGAGCGGCCGCCAGCCAAAGCTAATACCAGCCTGTGTGTCCATGTCCCTGTCCCTCCCCCCCAGTGTCCTACGGGTCCTGGTACCAGCACGTGCGGGAGTGGTGGGAGCTGAGTCACACTTACCCTGTTCTCTACCTCTTCTACGAGGACATGAAAGAGGTGAGGCCACTTGCTGCTGCTTCCCTCCAGGTCACACGTGCAGAGGCAGGGACCTCCCCAGGACCTGCCAAGGCCCTTTCAGCCACCTGTCCCCCAGCGCCCCCCACCCCACCAGTCCCGTGGGTCCTCCAGCCCACCTTCCTGCCAGGGACTCGGAGCTGCAGTTTCACCCAGGCAGCAAGGCCACACAGCTCTGATCTCAGACCCAAGCAACCCGGAGCCGGCCGGCCGCCGGCATTCCCTGTGGCCAGTTACAGAAGAGGACCGTCCTGCCCTCACCCATCAGGACCCAAATAGGAGCTTAGTTCAGGGTCATAGGGCAGCTAATGTGCCCCAGGGAAAGAGGACCCAAGTCAAGGAGCCGGGGCTGAGAGGTCTCTAGGCGGAGGTGGCCAGGTCCTGGAGGAGTTGGGGAACCTCCCTTTTATTTGCTCAGTGAGCCATCCCAACTGCCACTGAAGAGCCCCTCTGCTCTCCAGAACCCCAAGAGGGAGATTGAGAAGATCCTGAAGTTCTTGGGGTGTTCCCTGCCAGAGGAGACCGTGGATCTCATTGTCCAACAAACGTCTTTCAAGGAGATGAAGAAAAACCCCATGGCTAACTACAGCACCATACCCACTGACATCATGGACCACAGCATTTCGGCCTTCATGAGGAAAGGTGAGTGCCTGTGCAGGATGGGCATCGAGGCAGGCAAGCGTGGAAGTGGAGGCTGGGGCTGGCCTGAGCCACCCGGGGCCTGCTCTGCAGCTGGGGCCTGTAGCCGTCCTCCCCTCCGTCTGCAGGCATCACGGGGGACTGGAAGACCACCTTCACTGTGGCCCAGAATGAGCGCTTTGATGCTGACTATGCCAGGAAGATGGAGGGCTGTGGCCTCAGCTTCCGCACAGAGCTATGAGTGGTGTCCCTGGGAGGCATGCCCAAGGCCCCGCGGCTGTGACCCGTCCCCAGCCTCAAAAATAAAATTCCATGTGTATTACACCAAGAGCCTTTAATGCAAGCCAAGAACAAAAAAGAAAGGCCCACTGGGACCAAACAAATCCATCTCCCCCACAGCCTCCAATTCCCCAACCTGCCCTATTATGGGGAAGGGGAGAAGGGCCTGGAAAAACAAAACCAAGGAGACATGGGCAAAGGGGAACAATATTTATTTGCCATGAAATCTGCTGCATTCCCCTGTGAGGGTGGTGGGAGACTGGGAGTCTGCCAGCCCGCTTCACTTCTTCTTGGGCTCCTTACAAGCCACCACGTACCTCTGGGCCACATTGAGGGGAGGGGAGTAACCGTCTGCATAGGAGGTGTCTTCAAACAGGACTGAATAGTCATCCTGGGGCTGTGGCAGGGGGCGGACAGGAGGGGCTGGTCAGAGACCCCCAGGCAAGGCCCCCAACCCAGACTGACAGGAACCGCTGATACACGGGGTCCCTGCCTCTCCTGTCCCCACCTTCACTCCAAACCTAGTCCTGCTACAACACAGCCCTTTTCTCAGCAACAAAGAGCCAGGGAACAAAGAGCACAGAGGGGGCAGACTTGCTGTACATGTGGGGGGATACTACATGGAGAATCTGGTGCTTTTGGGAGACCCTGTGTTAAAGGGATCAAGGAAAACCCAGAAGGCAGCAGGCAGGGCACATGGAGGAGGAGGGGAGAACAGCCTTGAACCTGCCATCAGGCAATGGGTCACCGGCACGGGTGAGCACAACCTCACATGAAGAAAGGGCAGGGGTGCGACAGTCAAGGTTGGAGGGCAGGCCCTGGGTGTGGTGCTGCCTACCTCAGTGCAAAAGTGAGATCAGAGGAAACATAGCTCCCCATTCCAAGTGGGGCTGGCTAGGGCTCTGAAGGTGGGAGGGGGCTGGCTGGCACTGCCCTAGGGGACAGGGCTGGAGGGCGCCCGCAGGCCGAGCGTAAGCAG